TTAGGTTGGGATATCCCCTCCCCCAGAGTGTGTGTGCTCTCCTCAGGGACCCCAAGCCTGGTGTCACCCCCTTTTCTCTGTCCACAGAGCTCCTGAAGCAGCGACAAAAGGTTCTCTAGGATTGAAAGTCAACAAATCCACTCTCCCCAAGGAATTCCCATTGTTGATCTGTGTCCTGATGGACTTTTATTCCCCTGCTTTCACCCAGGTGTCCACAGGGAGCCAGGAAGATGTGGAGCCTCCCAGCCAGGTGTCTTCCCAACACACATCACCAGGACCACGGATCACCAGGGCTCTGCCCAACGGGGGTCACTGGGGATCATCCAACGCCCATCCTCCCATGGGGGATGGAACTGGAGCAGCGCACGAAGCTCTTCCCGCACTCGGGGCACTCACAGGGCTTCCCTTAGTGGTGCCTCCGTTGGTGTTGGGTCAAGTTAGATCTCTGTGAGAAGCTCTTCCCACACTGGGGACACTCGTAGGGCCTCTCCCCAGTGTGGATGCGCCGGTGCCTGACAAGGTTGCCGTTGCGGTTGAAGCCCTTCCCGCAGTCGGGGCAGCGGAAGGGCCTCTCGTCTGTGTGAATCCGCTCATGTAGGAGGACACTGGAGCTGGTCTGAAACCTCTTCCCACACTCAGGACACTTGTAGGGCCTCTCCCCAGTGTGGATGCGCTGGTGCTCCCTCAGATTGGAGCTCCACCCAAAGCTCTTCCCACATTCCAAGCAGGTGTAGGGCCGTTCCCCTGTGTGGATCACCTGGTGTCTCATCAGGTCAAAGGTACCTCTGAAGCTCTTCCCACATTTCCCACACTCATAGGGTTGTTCTCTCATGTGGATCTTCTGGTGATTCCTCAGGCTGGAGCTCTGGCTGAAGCTCTTCCCACATTCCCCACACCTATAGGGCTTTCCCCCAGTGTGGATCCTCTGGTGCTGGAGCAGGTGGGAGCTCCACATGAAGCCCTTCCCACATTCCAAGCACTTGTGGGGCTTCTCCCCCAGCTCTGAGCTCCGGCTGGATCTCTGGCCGTGTTCCTGGCACTGGGGTGATCTTTTTTCCTTGCAGCTCCCTGGACTGGGTTTCCAGCCCCTCCTCATGCAGGATCTCTGGGGCTTTTTCTCCTCTGCCATCTGGACACAGCTTGGGAATGAAAATTGGGAATGAAAATTCCTGGTTAGGAGGAAAAGGAGAGGAGAGCGTCTTGGGCTGGGGGTTCCTCCATGCCCAAGTTCATCTCAGAAAGTCATTGGGCATCTTGTGTCTGTAACAAAGCAAAGCACCAAGATTCAGCCCAAACATCAAAACAGTGATGAAAAACTACCCAAACACCAAATTCAGGCAGAACCCCCTCCAGAATACAAAGATTCAGCCCCTGCAAAAAAACAAAGCACCAATATTTAGCCCAAAAAAGTTCAGAAACACCAAGATTCAGTCCCATCAAAATCGTGGATCCCCTCCCAGGTCACCTCCAGGGCAACACTCCTGGGACTGCACATACATGGAGAATGGAATGTTGTCCTGCTTCCTCTTCCTTCTCTCCCACCTCCTCCTGTGGCCCTACTCTTCCTCCCACTCCTCTTCCTCCTACTATTTCTCCTCCTCCTGCACCTGCTCCTCCCATGTGAATCCTTCGACCGTTTTGTTCTTCAGCCCTGCTTCTCCTTCCCTTCTCCTCCTTCCCCCAGGCCCAGCACCCACTGCCGCCTCCCT